AAATTGTGAAAATAATTCGTCTATTTTCGATCAATTTGATTCACGTTAGAATAGTTTACATATAGTAATAAAAACAAACTAACCTTCAGTCAAAACTTCAATGCTTACATTTCTCACGCACTGAATAATAACACAAATACACAATATTATCGACAGATTAGAACTTAACCTTTCGTGTTTATATTTTGGATCGTTGCTTTTCCATCACATGCTATATATATATATATATTTAAACAATACGATTCGTCGAAGATCAATTGGTGATCAACCTTGGATAAGTTGTCTAATGTAAATACGGCTTTTATTTACTTTTAGTCGATTGATTTGATCGATCACAAATTGCTTAATATAATCGCTAATCGATGGAAATGCAACAATTGATTAACCTTTTCCGCAAAAGTATACATCTCCATCCTCGCCTGCGACTTCATTCTTCTCCATTGTTCTCTCATTCTGGTGATATCCCTGTCTGTGGAAAATATTCCGCGAAAGGCACGATGAATTTGTTGCCAGGCTAACATTTTCATCGCGGACGCGGCTGCATCGATCTTTTTGTTTTCGATTGCATTCACGTGTCCCTTGATTAACGAGAATAAGGCGTTTTTCTCCTCAGGGATCCAGTTTTGTGTCCTTTCGCGTTTTTTCAGTAGCACAGTTGTCGAATTTGAACACATTTTCGATTCTTTTTTCGTTTTAATTATTCGTTTGATTGAAATTTTTTTTTTTTTTTTGATAATATTATTAGCGCGATACGGATATAATTTTTACGAATAGTTTAGTAGTAATTTCGACTTAACTACACGACAAAACATGCGCACGACTGTCAACTGTTCACGACGCGATTAGATGATGTTTCTCGCGCGTTTACTTGTTTAAGCTCTGGTTTAGCACAGTCGAGTGTTTAACGTCGACACGAATACGCGTACAGCTTGATTGGAAAGTTTGCGACACTGTACATTTCATCTTTTTAGGGATTTTTTAAATAATGATTCGAACATAATCTTAGTTTTGTTGATTGAATCGTTCGATTTGAAAATTGGAATAGTATTTCCAAAAGTTAAAAAAAAAAATCATTTTTATTAAATCAATCTTCTTTCTTTATTAAAATTAATTAAAATAATTATTGTTATTGTAAATTTCTTTTATTATAAATAAACAGAAAATATTTAATTATTATGATTAATTTTTTTTTTAAATGGTTTATGAAGGAAGAAAATATTTTATAATATTTAAATATTGAATATTTTAAATTAATAATATGAAAGGAATGGCACAAAATATATTTATATATAAATTTATTTCTTGCAATTAAAATCAATATCGAATAAAAATATTATCTGTAATATTAAATATTAAATGATTAATTGGTAAAAATCAGTTAAATCACAATTTATTTATGTTCCTTTTCTTGAATAAATTTGTTAAATTATTTATTAAGAGATGAAAATTTTTATTATTAACTTCATCAACATAATATATTATAAAAATTACCAAATAATCATATATATTATTAATTTCTAATCAAATTTTTTTCCTTTTAAATAAGATATTTTATATTTATCGTGATAAAATCTAATCGCAGAAATTAATTAAAAACTTATAATGTATGACTATCTAAAAAATATCTATACAATGTAGAAGTAGAATATTTGCAATGTTGTTACAGTTTTCAAATCTTATCTTACTTATCACTCTCGTACTTTACCAATATATCATTTTACCGACATTAATGGCCTATTTAGAACAATTATTAATTTTTAGTTTTTAAATCAAAATAATTATAATTATAATAATTAATCTAACATTTTCTTTTTATAAAAACAGAAAATTATATATCTACTTAAAAAATGATGTATCTACAACAAGTTAATAAACGATTTTTAATTTCGAATAAAATATGCGATACCTATTCTTCATCGATTCAAAAAATTTTGAAATATATTAAAAAAAATCAAATTTTAAATTCATTAACTCCTATTGCATTCCTAAAATAATCATATATATTAATCCCAAAAATTTTCGAAATTATATTTTACAATAATAATTAACGATTTTATCAGCAATCGAAACATATATATAAGGATAAATCTAATAAATTAATAAGTCATATTTTTTAAATTTTCATTATAATAATAATTTTGAAGTTTATTCTGTTACGAAAAATTACAATATTTTTAAAAAATATAATCTGATCAGTATCAGTCTAATTAATATTTGTTAAACATTTAATAAATTTTTAAATTTTTATTGTTTTCGAAAACAAAGATCGTGAAAAAATTTTATTTTTTTTTCTTCGATTTATTTTTGCATGAAATTATCATTTATCAATTATAACACAATTTTTGAAACATTTTGTACAGATAATTCTACAATTTTTATCCTAAAATCGATCTTAATTTTAAAGTTAACGAAATTAAAAATAAATGCAAAAATTTAACAAATAATCGAAACTTTTACATATAGAATCACCACGATTTTTGCAACATCCTGTATTTATAATTCTTTCTTTTTCTAAATTCTGTCTTTAATTTTTAAATTAATGGAATGAAATATTGAAAACGAGTGTAAAGAATTTAACAAATAATCGAAATTTTTGCATATCAAATCACCATGATTTTTGGAACATCCTATATATACATAATTCTTTCTTAATTCCTAAATTCTGCCTTTATTAATTTTAAAGTTAGTGGAACGAAACTAACCCTTTGCAAAGAGTTAATTAATGATTGAAACTTTTCGGAAATTAAATTAAATTAAATTAAAGCCTTCCATTGAAACTTTTGCATATAATAAGTAATCTACTGTTAATATACACGTCGCGGATCAACGTTCGGTTAAATCGGAATTAAGGGTGGACTAAACGTCGGCCATTTTGACATGGCACTAGCTAGGCGCTCGATATTAACAAATCTTCGATTCCCAGCCGGGGAGAAAGAGGCAACGAGAGAGACTGAGAAGAGACGAAAGGGCAAGGGAAACAGGGGTGTCAGAGGGAGAGAGAGGATGATTCAACGTTCCGCGCAACGCAAACATTGTTTCGTTTCATTTCGCGATCCGTCGTGGAATCATATTGCGCCGATTCCAATATTTCCATCGTTTTATTGCGATTGCGGACAATCTCACGCCGATTCCACGCTAAGTTATCCATCTTTTTCATTGGAAGGATCGTTGATTCGATCGATCAATGACGATTATTAGACTGCTGGATGTTTTAGATATGCAAAGATATGCATAGAAAAATATTCGAAGTATAATACGTGTTATGATATTTGAATAATGAAACAGATAGAATCGATGTAAGATTCATTTTAAAAAAATGCAAATATAATTAAGGAAATTATTTTTCTTAAAATAAATATGTATGTGTATGTGTAACGGATATGTCGACAAACAATTTATATAAATTTAATATTAACAAATATTTAATAACAAATTTTTAACAAGATAACATTATTTAAATGGTAGATGTTTATAGATAGTTTTTCATATTTGAACTTAATATAATTTTTAAAAAATTAAAACTTTATGACATAATAGATAAAATATATAATAAAAAATAATAAAACAAAAAAATAATTTAATGAAATTATAATTAAATCATAAATTATAGTTGCATTTCATCGAATTTTTTTTAAATATTAATTATTCAATTATAATTAGATTATCGTAATCTTAAATAAGTTTGTAATAAAAACGAAGATTTATAGAGCATGAAAATATATAATTTGATATGTATAATTATATATTTAACAAAGCGATGTTGCATTTATTTTTATTCATAGATCTGATATATTGTTGTTTACATATTTTTCATATAAAAAGAAAAATTTATAGAAATTTTACTAAAATTTTATTGACCAAAATTGATTTCATATTTAATTTGCAAGAATCCAATTATTTATCTACTTGAATATTAAAAATCAATTTGATCAACTATAATCATATTGGTTAAATTGAAGTATATGTAATCTTAGAAACTTTTTAATTTATAATTTAAATTACTCTTGCTTTTAATTATTATAATTTATTTAAATTATTTATTATAATTTATTTATTTTTTTTATTTAAATTGTAATTACTTAAACTATTTTCTTAAAATAAAAAAGCTTATGGAAATATGTAATTAATTTTTTGAAAAATTTAAACAATCATATAAATATCTGAAATTAAGTAAACTAGATATAAATTTTTTTTTCAATTTTAAAAAGATTCATTTATTCTTTGCTTTTTCAAATAAAAACTTTCTAAAACGATTTAATCAAAAATAAAATAAATAAAAATGGTCATACATGTAAATGTTTGGCTTCACAAACGATTCATTTCATATTTATCATTCGATTATTTACTTTGACCAAACAATAGTAATGAAAAATATTTTATACAAATTATTGCTATAAAGAAAGAATAATTATAAAGGAGTATTAAATTTAATAACTATAATATTGAAAAGAAAATGTGAATAGATAAAAAAAATAATATCGAACTAAAAATCTAATTTAATTTTAACCTAAACTTATTTCAAACACAATTTAAATCGAACTTAAATCTATTTAATCTAAACCTAATCCGAAAATCCAAACATAATCTAAACCTAATCTAAAACTATCTAACTTATACCTATCATAAACTTGTTCCAACCACAATCCAAACCTAAACCTAACCTAAATCTATTTCAAACGTTATAGGTGCAATTTCTAAACCTAACTCAAACCTATTCCAAAT